TAGATACAACTGTGTAGTGCAGATAAGACTCTAAAGAGCAAGCCTAACAAAAGTGCATTTGAGATTTTCTTGAAAGATCTCTCCCCCGCTTTCACACAAACTCTGCGCTGGACTTCATTTCACCCAAAGAAACTGAGAATGAAATTTCTTTTAAGAACTCCAATCTTCCTCATCATGTCTCTTTTCTCTTTCTTTTCCTCTTCTCCCAGTCAGTACCTTCTCACCTTGTACCTGACCCTTGCCATCATGGTGGCATAGGGAAGGCTGGCATCCTCAAATAGCATCCCATTAGCAGCTGGGATACAGAGAGGGATTATTTTTCAGATGACAGGATGCAAGAAGGCCTCTGCAGGGATGTGGGTCATTAAGGAATTAAAAGGGAGAAGGAGGAGCACACCAAGACGTTTCATATTTCTTTCTCCTCCGAACTCCTGCTGTTCTTTTTCAGTGATGCTAAGGAAAAGCCCACCCTGTTTTGCAACAACTAAGCAGTGCACACATGATTGGAAACCTTAAGCATGCTCAGAGACTAGTGGCACTTGATGGCTTCCATATGAGTGGGGCAATTGGTTCCAAACTTTGGACCAAACTTTAAGCAGACCACCCAAATGGCTTGACCTATTTGGAAGACAGGTTCAGACTAGTTTAAGGGGGTTCTAGGGCTGAAACCTGGTTTAAATTGATCCTTCTGGTGAAACCGCATGCTTTCCACAGCCAGCTTCTGTCTTTTTCTCTTCTGCTGTGTGAGAGAGATGCTGTGCTTTCATTTGCAGACCTGGGAGCAATTCTGCCCAGGCTCAGGTGGATTATTTCAACTCTGGCTGGAAAACAACCTCTGAAGAAAGAACCCAGCGCCTCCTTATTGTCCCTCCCTTGTTCCGCTAGGGATGGATAATCTCAGAATTCATACTTCAAACGAACAAAACAAAGACATTACGTGGGCCACGTGACTGGAGCAATGGCTCAGAGGAAAGGAAGGGAGGCTCTGTATATTGCAAAAAAAACTTGGAGGCGGCTGTTTCAGTTCAAATCTGGTTGAATTACATCTCCAACAAAAACCCCTCCAGCCTGAGCAATGGGACAGATTAAAATGGAAAAAGACAGCCAGCCTGCAATGTGGTGACAGAGCACATTTCGAATCTACAGACACAAATTTGGGGTAATACAGGTGCCTGATTTTTGCGAAGGGAATAAGGTCAATGACAGATAAGCTCTGTGAGAGAAGAGGTCAGCATCTCCCATCTGTCTGACGGGAAATCAACAGCACAGCTGGGCAAGAAGGCAACCAGGGAGAGAGTGACCCCGATGCCTTCCGACATATGACCCATTGACCTCCTTAGGACATATGAGGCTGAGATGCTACACTGAGGCTGCATGGTGTACATCTATCTCCACATGCAAAGCTACACTGTCACTGAGATCCTGCCTTGCTTCAGCATCAAAATCTTCCAGTGGAGTTACCTTCTGCTTCCCTTATTTGTTGTGTTGTTGTTGTGTACCTTCAAGTCATTTCTGACTTATGGTGACCCTAATCATGGGTTTTTCTTGGCAAGACTTGTTCAGAGGAGGTTTGCCATTGCTTTCCCCTGAGGTTGTGAGGATGTGACTTGCTCAAGATTATAGAGTGGATTTTGTGGTTGAGCTGAGAATCAAACCCTGGTCTCCAGAATCATAGTCCAACATTCAAACCACTATGGCACGGTACCCAAGGGGAAAACAGAGGGAAAATTAAATGGAGCAGGGCTCCAAGGTCCACTCAGCCTTCCATCCTTTTGTAGGTTAGTAAAATAAGTACCCAGCTTGTTAGGGGCAATTGGCTTATACATTGTAAATCACTTATGGAATGCTACTTCACTGATAAATGGTATAGAAATGTACTTGCCATTGCTATAAAAATATTTCTTTTCAGGACAGCACTCTCCCTCAGAGATTCCTCCCTAATGCCCTGTGACTCAGGAATGGGCCCTAAGATGTGAGTGACCCTGTAGCTATTTCAGACCAAAGGGAGAATCTAACTCGAGTCTTAGAAGCAAACCTGGGGAATGGCTTCAATTGGTATCTAAGGAAGGGAAACCCTTTGTCTTCATGTCAAAGATCTAGGGATGCACAAGGTTAGCAGGTGTTAGTGTCAAATTGGGATGAGGATTTGAGTGTGTGTGCTTGCACGTCTGATTCTAAAAATGGAAAGAAAGTGTACATTTCTGAACAAAATTGGGTGAAAGATCTTTTCCAGCCCCCGTAAAGATCTCTGGAGGGCGTCTCTCATATCCACCAGCAGAATGCCCTCTGCTTCCCTCCTCTCCTACTGATCTGAGTGGCTCCTTAAATACCAAGATCAATGCGGTGGGGGAAAAGCATTCATGTGCATGCTAATGTATCAAAAGGTAATTGCGCCTCCGGAGACGAGAAACCCATGAGCTGGGCTTTGTGTTTCAAGACCCCCGGCCGTGCCATGATGGTCCCTCCCTGCTGAACTATCACCCCTACGTTATCCTTTGTCAACCGTGTTGGTGCAACAAAGGCCCTGATGCTGGAGTATGAGGAGGCTGATGACATGGATGTAAGGCAGAATGTACGTAAGAGGAGGTAGAAACAAACTACACAGTTCAAGTAGCTGCACATCTCCATTGCTGTCCAGTTTTAGAGCTAGAAAGAACTTACTCCTCCAAATTCTCCTCTGAGAATTTGGGAATTTGAAGCTTCTCCTCCAAAATTCTGTCCAATAGCACAGACATCTGCAAATTTCACTCTGGCTCCGTAAAAGCACAAAAATATGGTGCATGTGATGGGGGAAGGACCTTGTGGTTTCCACAGCAGTTTAAAGCTCGACTGTGTTGCTGCATAGCATCTTCAGGAATGCCATTATTTCTTTCTTATTTATGTAAAGCATTTGTCTCTTATGCTTTGGTCAAAAGTAAGACTCCAAGACAGAACAATCTTTGCTCTTGGGCTTGCCCTTTCAGACACAACATGCAAGAGGGATGCAGAGGGAAGGAGGGAAAAGAGGATGGTGTTTATGATGACCAGCTGGAAGAGGGATGTTCAGGATGGATCTTACCACTGTTGCCAGGACTGCTTCCACTAAGAATCCGAAGTAGGAGAGGCAGTGAAAAAGGAAAGGTTGTACCCATGGAGGTGATCAGCCTCCTTTAAGCCAAGTGAATGGATGATTTGGTAGCTTCTATGTCAGTGGGATGGTAAATCCATTACTGGCTTTGGATTGTGGCAGGGGAGCTCTCAATTTCAGCACCTTGGATAGCTCCTTGAAAGGCTATCAGTGCTTCCCAAACTTTGGTCTTCCAGGTGTTTTGGACTTTAGCTTACAGAAGTCCTAGCCAGATTGGCCAGCAATCAGGAATTCTGGGAATGGGCCAAATTCTGGTGCTGGGTGAAAACCTGGAGAAGATTTGTTGCCCCACTGACATGGGGTCCATCACCTATCTCTTCCCCTGGGGCTTACACAAACTGACCCCAGCAAAATGAAACTGTATGCACCCAGAAGTCCACTTCTGGGTTTTAAAAACTTGTAAATTAGGATATGATAACAGTACAGGGGGTTCCTGTCACCTATTTAATTATGAATTGCTGTTCCTGGGTGTGTCTAGGAGAAGGAATTTACCCTTCTTTGGCCAAAAAAGGGTGATTTGGGAGGCTGGAGGGGTCACAGACCCCAAAAGCAGCCTTCAGGGATGGGCCATATGTGGTTCTGGGGCCACACTTGTCCCACTCCTTCATTAAGAGAATAAAGAGCACACTTTTAAAATGCTTCTATGACTTAATGTTTTATGTCCCTGTTTTCCTTCTCCTCCTTTCTCTTCTGCCCATGAAGGAGGAACAGATTGGCTGAGACTTCTCGATGAATTTTTAATCACTGTCTGGTGAGCTGCCTGAGGAGGGGAGAAACCCATTTTGTTCCAGGCCTTCCACGTAGACAGAAGCAAATCTTGCGTGATGGGAACTCATAAACTCAGAAATGTCTCTCTGGGTATGCATTTTTTTTCAGTAGGTCGGCGTCATGCCCTGCCTCTGTCGGAGACTGAGAGACCCACCAGCAGCATCCCAGTCAGTGGCTGTTTCTTCCCATCCAACCCTGCTGCCTCTTAAGGTCTTCCTCTCAGTCTTTCTGTTGGAATAGCTTGATCTGGGTTTGTTGTCGATAACTGCCCTCAAGTCAACCTCAGCTCAAGGCAACCCTATGGATGAGACATCTCCAAGACCTTGTATCCTCCACTGCTCTGCTCAGGTCCTGCAAATTCAGACCCATGGCCTCCTTTATCAAGTCTAACCATCTGGCACATGGTCTTCCTCTCTTTCTACTTCCCTTCACCTTTCCTAACATTATTGTTTTTTCCAATGAGTCTTTTCTTCTCATGATGTGGCCCAAGTACAACAGCCTCAACTTAATCATCTTGGCTTCCAGGGAGATTTCTGGCTTGATCTGTTCTAGGGCCCATTTGTCTGTCTTCTCGGCCATCCATAGTATCCTCAGCACTCTCCTCCAGCACCACGTCTCAAGCAAATTGATTTTCTTCCTATCTGCTTTCTTCACTGTCCAGCTCTCACATCCATCCATCCATCCATCCATCCATCCATCCATCCATCCATAGTGAAGGGGAATATGATGGCTTGTTCTGGGTCCCTCTCCCCATGAAGCACAGAGAGGCTGACAGGGAGAGGTGTCCCTAGGCAGCTGCTTTCTCCCTTATGCTTTGAAATGTGTTTGCTTCTACTCCAGATGGAAACAAGTGTGCAGAGAGAAAAGTATGGCAAGATGCTGCTTTTCAGTCGCGTGGCTTCCTTTAGCTGGCAGGGAAGGCAGGTAGGCTGGGGATGGAAGACCTCCGTGAGAGATGAACCGGGGACACAGATGGAGGATCCAGAGAGATGTAATAATGCTGCTCAGATTTCTTCCTTGCTTCCTTCCTTGGTTGACTTATATCCCACCTCTCTCTTGACACCGGACCCAAGGCCGCTTACAACTAATTTAGACAAAGTAGAGAGCCAGCATGCCGTAGTGGTTTGAGAGTTGGACTATGATTCCAGAGACCAGGGTTTGATTCCCAGCTCAGCTATGAAACCCACTGGGTAATATTGGACAAGTCACACTCTCTCAGCCTCAGGTGAAGGTAACGGCAAACCTCCTCTGAACAAACCTTGCCAAGAAAACCTTAGGATCGCCATAAGTCAGGAATGATTTGAAGGCACACAACGCACATCAAATTCATGGGATCACCTTAAGTGGGCAGGTGATTTGGAGGCACATGCACAGACATACACCATTATGGGATTTCCTAAGCCTGCAAATATTCCCCTTACCCCAAATGTTGGCCACTCTGTACTCTCTGACTGTTTCATGTATATCACAACAACAACAACAGTGCTGCAAACGAGGCATTCTGGTTAACATTCATGTATTCCCTCTCGGGCATTAATTTTCTAAGCAGTGCAAATGAAGAGAGCTTAAATGGCAGGTGCAAAAATAAATCCCTTGGCAGATGCAAAAGCTGGTCTGTTCGATTCCTTAATATATACGTATGTTTTTAAAAAACAGTTATCTGTAAGGAAAAGGCTGTGGTGGAAAATGATTTCACTGGACCCAAAGATCTAAAATGGTGTAAGAGACTGACTTGTGTTAAAGGGGAAAATGAAATAGATGGAGAGAAAGCAGCTGCTGCAACCCCCTTTTATTTCATGCAAATGGAAGGAGAGAGCCCTTGGGGCCACATGGCAGAGTGCCAGAGGAAACCAAACCTGTCAGATGGGGCATCTTTTTAAATCAGGTCAAACAAGACTTGCCCTCCGCTGCATGCCACTTCTTGCTAGCCCTTCCCTCATACCCTATTGTATCCTGTTGCAATAGGATTACACAGGCATTATACAGTTCTGGGCTTCCCTTAAATGCATTTATTTATTTATTTAATTTTTATCCTGCCTTTCTCCCAAAGTGGGATCAATAAAAAGAGTGTATTATTATTATTATTATTATTATTATTATTATTATTATT